GTCGGACGCTTAACCGACTGTGCCACCCAGGCGCCCCAGAATTTGGAAAACTTTTTAAGCTATTATTTCTTCAAATACTTTTTCTGTCCCCTCCCCCTTTTTCTTTGGGGACTTTAGTTACATCTATATTAGGCTTAACATTAACCCACAGGTCATTGAGACCATTTTCACTTTTTAAGTTATTTTTTCTCTGGAGTGCCTGGCTGGCTCAGTCGTTAAAGGATGGGACTCTTGATCTTGAGGTCGTGAGTTTGAGCCCCACGTTGGGTGTAGAGATTACTTAAATAAGTAAAACTTTTTAAACATTCTAAAAAAATAACATTTTCTCTCAGTGTTTTCATTTTAGGTGGTTTCTATTGCTTGGTCTTTGAGTTCACTAATGTTTTCTTCTGCACATTCTCCTGGATGTTCAATCTGCCGTTAATCTAATCCAGTGTAATTCCAAACATTCATCCAAACATTCTAGTTCCAGGTCTAGAACTTTGTGTCTTTTTATCTTTCATGCCTCTAACTTTTTGAACATATGAAATAGTTTAGAACTTCAGAACTGCTAATTCGAATGTCTGTGTCAGTTCTGGGAGTCTTTCTTTTTTCTTTTCTTTCTTTCTTTCTTTTTTTTTTTAAATAGTGAGAGAGAGTGAGCATATACGTGCATGTGAGCAAGGAAGGGAGGGGCAGAGGGGGAGAGAGAGAGAATGCCAACCAAGCTCCACACTCAGCACGGAGCCCAGTGCAGGGCTGGATCCCATAAACTGTGAGATCACAACCTGAGCTGAAATCAAGAGTCGGATGCTCAACCAACTGAGCCACCCAGGTGCCCCAGTTCTGGGCGATTTTGACTGATTTTTCTATCATGGGTCGTATTTTCTTGCTTCTTGACATGCCTGATAATCTTTGATTGGATGCTAGACATTTTCTCTTGCTGAGTGCTGGATAAGATAGTTAGGAATAGTTTGGTCCTTTCCAAACTATTTCCAGGTCTTGCTTTTATGAACTTTTAGGTTTGGAACAATGCTCAGTCTGGGGGCACTTATTCCCCACTAGTGGAACAAGACCTTCAATGGTTCTTGAATTACAACATTTCCACCATGGCTGGTGGGAACACACACTATTCCTAGTACTGTTCCTTGAAAGCTTTAGCACAGGGTCAGTACGCTTTTTCTGTAAAGGGTCACAGAGCAAACATTTTGGATATGGCTAAATGAATAATAAACAAATGGGTGTGGCTTTGTTCCAATAAAACTTTATTCACAAGGCAAGGAGTAGGCCAGATTTGGCCTGGGGGCCGGAGTCTGCCAGTACCTGCTTCAGGATGATTCTTTCCCAGCCTTCAGGAGCTTCCTTTGCTTGTATGTGCTGATTGGTCCCCTACTGAACACTCCAGGACAATCTCCTGCAGGCCCGAGGCTTGCCCTGGGGACAGCTCTCCCCCGGCTGGAAATCTGCACTAAGACCTCCGGCTGCCTTGGTCCCTCTGGCTTCTCAGCTTTACTTCCTCCAGTCAAGGAGCTGAGTGGCCTCTGGGCTGTGACCTAGAAACTCCAGGCAATTGAGGCCATCACTGGGCTCACCTGTCTCCTTCCTGCTGTTGCCCGATAGTCAATATCTTGAAAACAGTTGTCTCCTGTTCTTTGGGTTTTTTACTTTTTATGGGTATTTTTGGTTGTTTCAGGTGGAAGGTGCCTGTTCTGATGCCTGTTACCCTACCTTGGCTGAAAATGGAAGCTGGAAGCCCCTTAGCTATTAACATGAACTTAAGAATGAGAAATTAGTGTTCTGTAGTTGCACTAGCCACAGTGCATGAAGAAACATCCCCACAATCACAGGAAATTCTACCGGACAGTGCTGGCTTAGAAACCTTACTGCTCCTCCCGTGTTACTCACAGCCAAGGTGCTTACACAGGCTTACCTCTTGCAGAAGAGACAGGTGGGTGGCCAGGAGAACAGCGGGAACTTGGCTCGGCAACAGCAACAAATCTGTAAGCGAAGGACCAGATGAGTTAGTCCTGCGTGGTGAGGGAGCAATCCAGGGTCCAGGCTGCCTGGCCCGCCCTCAACCCAGGGCTCCTGCCTGCTGAGGGAGCAGCTGGGTCCGGGCCACCTCACCTTCCCCTTCCTGAGACTGCTGACGAGCTCCTTGTTCTGCAGAAACTTCTCCATCTCAGCCTTCACCAGCACACGGCGTACATCCATCACTTCCTCCACGGTCAGAGCAAGGCTCTCCACGGGGTGGCTGAACTCCTGGGGATAAAAGGGTCAAGGGGTCAGTGCTCCCGAGGCCTTGAGGGACGAGGCCTTTCAGGAGTCTGTCCATAAGGGTCTCTCTTCTCTGAGGACTCTGGAATCTTCCTGGCCTCAGTCTACCCAAACCTAGCAACTTCCTAAAACACCCCAGCCTTCAGCTCATCTACCGCTGGGACCCACACACGCTACTCCCGTCACCTGGTCCGCACCCAGCCTGCTGATGACCACATCCCTCTAGCATCCCCACCTCTGTTCACGGTGCTCTCCAGACCAGAAACGTCTGCCTCCCACCTCGTTCCCCACCTGCAAACACACAACACCACCGGTCGCAACCATCCAGAGGCCCCAGGCCCACCTCTTCTCCTTCTGAAGGCCTTCACCACAGAGCTCTCTCTCCCCTGGCGGCTGAAGGCCCTCGGCGCCTCCTGCATGCTGCCTGACACTCGGTGCTCACCACCAAGCCTGCCCATCTGTAGGTGGTATGTGTCCCGCCTGTCACAGCCACCTACCCCTTTGGGCCACCACAGTGACTGTGCCTTGTTCTGCCCACCCTCCGGAGGGGTTGCTCAGCTCCTCTCCTATAAAGTGGGGTGTCTTCCAGCTTCATTGAGATAACACACAAAGTCCTTAGCGCCACGCCTGGCACCCCAAATTATTAGCTATGGAGATGAGGCATCATGAGGGGCGGCCCCCCACGAGGGGGCCACAGAGATGGGGGTTGGGATGCGTGGTTTGTTTCTTTCACATTGCTGGTGGATTATCCTATTTAGGGTTGCTCCTGTTGGCAGCGGAGACCAGCAGGTTGCTCATCAGATTGGCCGTGAGTACGTGTTCAGGGCCGAGATGGGTGTGGAGGTTACATGAGGTCTGACAGCCAAACGTCTCAGAAAGCACTCCTGACGTCTGTGCTAAGAAGACACTTATGGGGGTGCCTGGGAGGCTCGGTCAATTAAGCGTCCGACTTTGGCTCAGGCCATGATCTCACGGTTTCATGGGTTTGAGCCCCGCGTCAGGCTCTGTTGTCAGCAGAGAGCCCGCTTTGGATCCTCTGTCTCCTTCTCTCTCTCTCTCTCTCTCTGCCCCTCCTTCATGTACTCTCTCTCTCTCAAAAATAAATAAACATTTAAAAAAAGTAAGAGTGCAGCACCTGGGTGGCTCAGTCGGTTGAGCATCCGACTTCAGCTCAGGTCATGATCTCACAGTCCGTGGGTTCGAGCCCCGCATCGGGCTCTGTGCTGACGGCTCGGAGCCTGGAGCCTGTTTCAGATTCTGTGTCTCCCTCTCTCTGCCCCTTCCCCGCTCATGCTCTGTCTCTGTCTCTCAAAAATGAATAGACGTCAAAAAATTAAAAAAGAGTACACTTATGAGGGGTGCCTTGGTGGCTCAGTTAGTTAAAGGTCCGACTCTTGGTTTCGGCTCAGGTCATGATCTCACGGTCCGCGGGTTCAAGCTCCGTGTCAGGCTCCATGCTGACAACGTGGAGCCTGCTTGGGATTCTCTCTCCCTCTCTCTCTCTCTCAAAATAAAGAAATAAACTTAAAAAAAAATACACTTATGGGACTTGCCATTTTAAAATGGGCCTCCCCACCCTGAATACTTAATTAAAGGAATACATACGTGTCCCCCAATTCCTTGACTTCCCTTCAAGAAGTGGCCTTCCTCTTTCCCTGCCGCCCTGAGTCAAGCAGGGGCTTGAGTGCACTCACGATTCAGCCCCACCCGTACCCACCGCCATGGCCGAGGGAGGCATCGCTGCTTTACAAGAGGGGCTGAAGACCGCCCTCACCCATGGTGACCCAGCAAGTGGACTCTGAGGAGCTGCCAAAGCCTCACACGAGGACCACACCCATCTGTGAGTGTCCACGCGGCGGAGGCACCTCGTGCTGAGCACCAGGTCAACCTAATTACTGGTGATGACAACAAGACGCGAGGGGAGTGGGTCGGCCTCTGTAAAAGTGACAGGAAAAACCCCGTACGGTGGTTGGTTGTAGTTGTGTGGTGGTTAAGGACTATGGCAAAGAGTCTCAGGCCAAGCAGGTCGTCAAGGAAAGCTTCCGTTATTTTTTTTTTTCAACGTTTATTTATTTTTGGGACAGAGAGAGACAGAGCATGAACGGGGGAGGGGCAGAGAGAGAGGGAGACACAGAATCGGAAACAGGCTCCAGGCTCTGAGCCATCAGCCCAGAGCCTGACCCGGGGCTCGAACCCACGGACCGTGAGATCGTTACCTGGCTGAAGTCGGACGCTTGACCGACTGCGCCACCCAGGCGCCCCAAGGAAAGCTTCCAATGCAAGAAATGAGCAGGTAAAAAACGTGGTCCTTGTTCCTCCCACAAAAAAATAAAGAAAAGTGGGCCTTAATCCCCCTCCCCTGAGGATGTACTCAGTGACTCACTTCTAATGAACAGAGAAAGCTGGAGATAACAATGAGTCACTTCTGAGACTTGGTCGTAAAGACACTGGCTTCTGCCTTGCTGTTTCTCAGACCACCAGCTCTGGGGGAAGCCAGCCCCCATGCCGTGAGGACACCCGAGAGCCCTGTGAAGAGGTCCACGTGCAGGGGAAGCTCGGCCTGCCGGCAACAGCCACAGGAGAAGCCACCTTCCAAGAGCCCGCTGCGGGGAGGCCCTGAACCAGGCCGCCCAGCCGAGCCACTTCTGGATTTCTAACCCTCAGAAGCTATGTGAGATAATAAGTGTTGTTGTTTTAAGTTCTGGGGTAATTTTTAATGCAGCAGTAGATGATACAGAACTTGGTTGGGGAGTATCAGTGGTAACACTACCTTATATTTTTAGGGCACTTTTCAAGGCAATTTTAACGTGTGTTCTCATTTAAGCTTCTTGACAAAACTTCAAGGAAATGATTGTAACGACATTGTTGACATCCGGATGCCCTGTGCTCACCAGGCACTTCACCTGTCACCCGTCTGATAAAAGCATACACCAAGGCTCAGGTCCAAGGGGGGGGCGGGGCTCAAAATACCAGCAGGTGTTAGCTCCTCCCAGTTACAAGTCAGATAAAACCCACCGCTGAGAAAGCCCAGATGCAGAGGGTAAGCAGCGTAGTGCCAGAATCATGACCCTAAAAGATGCTGTCACATCTCGCTGCCTTCGGGCACAGAGCTCCGGTCTCTCATCTGTCCTAACCCCCACAGGGAACTAAGAACTTCAGATGTCCCCAGTCCCCTTAGCAAGGTCCTTTCTTTGGCCTCGGGGCTGCAGTTCCCAGAAGTCCCAGAAGGGAGCAGCAAAGACCAACCTCAGATTTGGTGGCTCTGGAGCAGACCTAGCCACACCCACGGAAGGAACTGCCCCACCCCTGCTGGGCCCTGTCCAGGGGAGAGGTGAGGATAAGGGCCCAAGAGGCGCCCCCACCCAGCACCCTGGACAACAATGCCTCCATCCACTCACCAGCCACAGATGATTGGTGTCTGGGGCTGCAGAAGCCTCCGGCCGGTCCTCTGCTGAGCCCAGGTCACTGTGTGGTAGAGAGCTAGGGTCAGGCTGGACCTGGACACTTACAGGGAAGGAACCTAGAGTAAGAGCACAGGAGCCCCGTCAGGACAACCAGGCAGAAACTGTGTGGGAGGGCTGTGCCCAGGGGGTGATGGAGACGGCTGGTCAAGCAGTAGGGGGCCATGGGGGCAGTAATCAAGGAGAAGGTCATGTAGAGAGCACGTCAGTGTGGCAGGCTCAAGGGACACCTGCAGGGGCCCCATATCTTATCCCGGTGAACGAGCCAACATCAGGAGCCGCATGGCCGCCAAAAGTGAAGGCAGATGGCAGCAGTCATGCAGGAAGACGTCACTAGTGCCACTCGCACTTCACGCAGAGAGAGAGGCAGCTCTGAGTGTTCAGGACACTTGTGGGGGGACAAGGACAGTGAAGTATGGAATTGGCCTGGCCTGGACCTCTTCACTCCAGAAAGTGCATCAGCTACCGAGCTGGACCGCCTTGACACTGGCAAGAGAACAGGGGGGGCTCAAGATGACGCTGGGAGCAGAAAGGGTGGCCTGGCCACGTATAGGAGGAAACAGTGGGTGGGGGAAGATAACCCCATGTCCCGTCGGCACGTTGCGGAGCACAGCCCTTCAACAGTGGGACGAACTGACCCTGTGTGGCCAGTAGGAGTTTTCTGTCCTCTGTGCTGAACAGGGAAACAAAGTGACAAGTCAGGTTCTAGAGTGGTGTGTGTGGCACGGCCCGTCTGGCTCACTGCGGACAAGTTTTCACCGATCAGAAAAAAAAAGACTAGAAGGATCTGTCAATCATCTATGTGTCCACCTAGCTATTTGTCTATCCATCCATCCATCCACCCATCCTCCATCCGTCCAATTTTCTTTTCATATACCAATATATTACTAGTAATGATCCCTGAGTACTAGAGTCATGCGAATGTTTTAAAGTTTTTTAAAAAGTGTTTTTATAATAAATGTGGGTTACTGATTTAATAAGAAAGTTTTCAAGTTAAGAAAGTGGGGGATGCCTGCCTGAGGCAATGAGGTAAGTCCAGGCTTGAACTTTAAACACGCTTCTTGCAGGTATGACCTCCCTATACCCTCTGGATGCTGCCTCCTCAGGAAGACAATGGGACCAGGCCAGGACATGGTGCCCACAGAATAGAGTCAAGGGAGAAGGGGGTGAGAGCCACCACTTGCCCTGCTCCTGGGTGCTTGGCCTCCAGGCGTGCATGCTGCCCGTGCGGGGCCGGGATGATTCCAACCCTCCTTGGGGCTGAGTGCCTGGCTGCAGGCCAGAGGCCACTTCGCTCCGGAGCTGGACCAGGTCATGCTCCGAGAAAGAGCGGTCCCGCTTCAGTGTCACCTCCCCACACGGAGACTCTTCCTCCTGTGGACACACCAGACCCAGCCCTGACCACCAGCGCCTCCTGCCTGTCCCTGGACTGAGGCATAGGACACAGGGGGTGCTGCTGGACCCACTGAGGCCATGGGGTCATCCTCTACTCACTGCCCAGCCTGACTACCCTCTAGCATAGTGGAAGGCAAGTACCTCGAAAACCAACCCCTTCGCTGAGGCCTGTGGAAAGTCCTGAAGGTGACAGGTCTGGTGTCAGGTGCGGCCCACCAAGAGAGCTACTGCCCTGGGTCTCCCTGAGCTCAGCGGGCAGTGAGGGGATGACAGAGGGCCACAACGAGACACACCGGCTTTTCACATCAGCCAGGGGGCTGCTCAGCTTCCCAGCCCCAAGATGACGAAACACGCCCATTCCAGCCCTCTTTGCACTATGGGAATAGGTGGCCCAAGGCCACCGTTCCAGTCACCCGTCTGAGCCACCAAGATGGGGAAGTGTTCCCAAGTCCCACCATGTTTGCTCTCGGGACAGACCCAGCCCCACAGCAGGACGGCAGCTCCAAAGAAGAGTGCTGCCCTCAGCCCTTCTCACTTGCCCTCCTCCTCCTCCTCCCTGGCCTCTTTCCAGGACTCTGTGGGCTCTGACCTCAGATGTGTTCATCTCCTCCATCTCAGCCAAGGTGGGCGCCTTGAGCAGGACCCGGGGCCGTGGGCGTTGGGTGTTGTTCCCGGCGTCCATGACAGACAGGTTGATGCAGGAAGGGGACTTGGTGTCCCCAGAACAGGCATTGAGGATGCAGGGCAGAGAGCCAAACCCTGGGGGAGGCAGGGAGGTAGGGCAGGACAGGACAGTGAGGGGGGGGAGGGGGGAGGGGGGAGGCGGGGGAGGCATCCCATGCTCACCCCGGCCACGCCAGCGCTCGGCCCCCACCGGGCGCAGCCTCCGCTCCTGCTTGATCTCCTCCAGGATCTTCTCATGCAGGGTCCTCTGCTTTTGGGGTAAGGGGCGAAGCCTTCTCTCTGAGACCTGGAGGGAGTATGGCTCTGTGAGGGAAGGGGGTGGCACGGACACAATGGAGCGGGGAGGAACCCTGTGATACAGCCACGCCTATCAGTAGCCGGCTAGCAGGGGGCCGACGGGAAGGTGCCCTGTGTGCTCTTGGGGCAGGTCCATCTCGGGACCAGCCTGCCAGCGCCTCCCTCAGTGGAGACTCCACTCTGCCCTGGGGGAGGGGAGGCCAAGAGTGGAGGCCACGCACAGCTGGTACCTGTTTCAGCGGAGGCCGGGAGCGGATGAAGTCCAGGATGAGTTCATGGGCATCCTTCTTCACCCTGGGAGGGATATCTCCATCGACCTGTTGGGGAGGATGGGGAGAAGACCAAGGCTAAGGGCTTGATACCCACATGGGCTGGGGCCGTGGGAGGGCTCCCTCAGCCCTGAGCAGGGCCAGGGCCTCACGCCAGCCCTCCCCTCAGGGGCTGCGTGGCAGGCGTAAGGGCAGCAGTGGCACCACCGTGTTCCATTCTTCACGTGGAAATGAAGGCCAGTGACACCCCAGACAGGGTCGCCAAAGAATGGAATAACTGGCACATTGAGAATTTGTCAAGTGAGGGGCGCCTGGGAGGCTCAGTCAGCTAAGCGTCTGACTTCGGCTCGGGTCACGATCTCATGGTGCGTGGGTTCAAGCCCCGCGTCGGGCTCTGTGCTGACAGCTCAGAGCCTGGAGCCTGCTTCGGATTCTGCGTCTGCCTCTCTTTGTGCCCCTCCCCTGCTCTCTCTCTCTCTCAAAAGTAAATAATAAACGTTAAAAAAAGTTTTTCAATTTGTCGAGTGCAGCCAGCAGAAGGCAAGAGCCGTGTAAACATAAGATGGGGCAACTCGCAGCCTCAACGCCTGCCGCTGGTCCTCTGGAACCCTCCATGCATCCCCTCTCCCTCCCTGCCCTTGTCCCTCCCTGTGTCCCTGATGTCACACTGTGCCCAGTGAGTTATGGGAATAAGGGCCACGTCCGCCTGTGCACATTTAAACACCCGGCTCAGTAGCCACAAGCGGGCAGAAGGCCGCTGGCAGGCCCCTCCCCCACCAGCTCACCATGACCTTGCGCAGCTTATAGTTCCTGGCGCGGATGTCCTGCATCAACATCTCGAAGGGGGTGAGCTGGAACTCGGTGGGCAAGGGGTTGAACTCTCGCTCCTGCACCTTCTTCAGCTTCACTCCGTGGCGGAGCTCCCGCATGAGCTGGACCCACAGCCGGGCCTGGGCCCCCGAGAAGACAAAAACGGCCCTTAGCGCCAGCAGGGCTGCCCCAGGCCCTCCAGGCACAGACCCCGGGGTGTGGGGGCTGAGCCCAGTGCTCCGGGTCAGAAGCGGAGCCACATCTTACCCAGTCTGTGTGTCCCAGGTTGTCAAGCTCCGCCAGAGGCTTCTCTACCTGCAGTTCATCGTCCCGAAGCTTCTGCAGCATCTGCGCGTCCAAGAGAAGGTAAGAGAATGGTAGCCGCGGGGATATGGGCCCCTGCTGGTCTGTCCGTCTGGGGACATTTCCTTCCCAATGCACTACTATTCCACCAGCTGGAAAAGGGACAAGCGGCCATTTTGGCCAAGGCTTTGGGCTCAGAAGGATCTAGAGAAACCAAGCCATTAGCTTTGGAACCACATGGGACACTTGGTATCCCATCAGCTGTCTCTGGCAGCTTCTCCTGGGCAAGGGCGAGGGTGAGAGTAGAACACTCGCCTGGCACCCACATAGAACTTTCTGGTTTGCAAAAGAACCTGCACCCTTCTGTCACCTGATCCACACAGCCCAGCGAGGCACTGTGTCCTCCAGAGATGGCGGACGCAGGGGAAAGCCCTGTTCTCCCCCATCCGTGAAGTGTTCCCAGTCTTCCTTCAGATCCAGCTCCCAGGGCACATACACATCCACCCTCTTAGAACACCATGGTCGCTTCTCGACACGTGATCCCAGCTGGAGTTTTACATTTATCTGTTTCTTTGACTGTTGTCTGTACTATTGGCTCCAGAAGGCCAGAACCTTGTTTATGTTTCTGGTTTTTTCTCACCTTACTATTCCTGCTCCTAGCACAGCATGATGGACGCTAAGTCTTAAATAACGGTTGAAAGAATGAATGGATGGCTGGATAGATGAGTGGGTGTGTGGACGGACAGCTGAATGGGTGGATGGATGGGTATAAGGGTAAGAGGGTGAGTTACTCAGCAAGTCCTGGGAAACAGACATGGGTACGTATTTAATGACGTGGGGGAAATGCTGCCATCGTGGTGAGGGCCAAAGAAGGACATCAAGGGTTGTCGGGTAACTGTTCTGTGCTGAAAATTTGGGAAGCTGCTACATTCACTGCCTTCATTGCCCTGGATCTTGGCAGCAGCTGGAGCCTCTGTCCTCACCAACTCTCCTAGCCTAGAGAAGCATCTAACCTTTAGCACACAGCTCCCACCCCATCCCCCAACTAAGACAGAACCGGTTACCCTGGCTTTCACCCCAAGCTACTTGCTAAACTGCTTTGGGACGCTCTAGAAAATGCTGCCAAGTCTCAGAGCGGCACAAGGTGTGTAATTCTAAAAATAGACCTGTGCGTGATGTGGCAGTCCCTGTGGCGAAGGGCATGAAGGGTGGGACTCTCATCCCTCCTGTAGTTTCTACCCCTGTCCCTGAACAGGCCGTTTCTTCCTAAAATGCCAGCCCACATGTGTCCCACCGACAGACCCTCCTCTCACTCCCCGTCACTACCAACTCCCTGGACATCTCCTGGGTCAATTACTTGGAAGTCTAGAGATGTTTGCTCCTGCTAAAGAAAGAGCTTCTATTGTCTGCATAAGGAATTGATCTTAGCAACAGAGCAGGTGACTTCAGAGCAAGTAAGACAAAAGCATTAAGACCCATCCGGGGGTGCCTGGGTGGCTCAGTCGGTTAAGCATCTTACTTCAGCTCGGTCGTGATCTCTGTTTGTGGGTTTGAGCTCCACATTGGGCTCTGTGCTGACAGCTCAGAGCCTGGAGCTGCTTCGGATTCTGTGTCTCCCTCTTTTTCTGCCCCTCCCCCGCTCGCACTCTTTCTCTCTCCCTCCCTCTCAAAAATAAACAAACGTTTAAAAAAAAGACCCATCCACTAATTGGTGCATTAGAAGAACATCTCCAAGGGGTGCCTGGGTGGCTCAGTCGGTTAAGCCTCCAACTTAGGCTCAGGTCACGATCTCATGGTTCATGGGCTTGAGCCCCACGTCAGGCTCTGTGCTGACAGCTCGGAGCCTGGAGCCTGTTTCAGATTCTGTGTCTCCCTCTCTCTCTGCCCCTCCCTAACTCATGCTCCCTCTCTCTGTCAAAAATAAATAAACTTAAAAAAAAAAAAAAGAAGAAGAAGAACATCTCCAAGATGCCAAGGAGGAGTGGGGAGGGGAGATGGGGAGTGGGCAGAGGAACTACCCACCCTTGGGCCATCAACTGGGCTGCAGATAAGGGCCCAGTGGTGCAAGCACATCTCTGACTTGTCCCAGGCTGGGTCCCAGGCCCCATGAATCAGAACAATCCTGAGAACCTACTCAGGCCCAGAGCTTCGGGGAAGTTGGTCAGGGTGGAACCAGGGACCAGCATCAGTCAATTTCAAAAAGCTTCTGCCATTGCCCTGACCTCTACAAAGTCTGCAGTTTCTCATTCGTGACTGCTGATGGAAGGCAGGAGTCCCTGTGCCAAGACCCCTGCTTCGAGGAAACAGGTCAGGTCCCACCAAGGGGAAAGCTGGAAAGTTGAAGAAAGACTGTCAGCTACTAATTCTGAGACCACGAAGAGATAGGACAGGCCTGGGGAGACCCCAGCTCTGCCTGTACTAGCTCTGGCTTGGGACAAGGGGACACCTTTCAGAGCCTCCGTTTGCTTATCTGCAAAAGGCAACTGTCACTGAACTTCCTACCTCCCCCAAACTCCAAACACCTGGGTGCACTGAGCTACAGGAAGTGGTGCCAGTTAGCACCCGTTTCCAGAAGAAACCAGTACAGGGGAGGACAGCCAGCCCCATGGGAAGATATAAACACGAGGAGGCAACAGGAAGAAGGGCCCGGGGCCAGAGGCTGGGAGCAGGTTCCTTAACGTCTCTGAGCCTTAGCCCCTTCCTGTGCGAAACCGGTTACGAAGTAGGTGTGAGGGTTGAGTTAAAACCTGCAGAGCATCTAGGACGGTGCCCACACTGAGTGCAGACAGTGAGGCCAGTTTATTCAGAGTCCTGCACTGAGGACTTCCACTTCCTTTGGAGAGACAGAGGGACCGGTGCGTTGGGTGTGTGGGGAGGGGG